TTTTAATATCCCATTTTTCCTGCAGATGTCTGGACCATAAATATCTGGGCAGCCAGGGCTTAAATTTCAGTGGGCCTGGAGATCAGGAAAGCAAGCCAGCTCTTGTGTTCCACGCCCATCACTATTGCCAATTAGATGTCACTTTATATTGTAAAGCCCCATCAAATATTAGTAAAAAGAAGCATGGGGAAAACTTTATTTTCTAACCAAAAACAATGTATGCCTTTAATATGCCTTAATTTTTGTCTTCTTAAAGGACTTTATTAGAAAGTAAAATGAGTTACAGGCAGTCCTCAACTTATGATCAAAAATGAGCACAAAATTTCCACTGCTAAGCCAGACAGCTAAGTGAGTGTTGCTCCACTTTACGACCTTTCTTGCCACAGCTATTAAGGTCATCCCTGCAGCTGTGAAGTTAATAACCTGGTTGTTAAGTGATTCTGGCTTCCCCATTGACTTTGTTCGCCAGACGGTCCCAAAAGGGGATCACATGATCCCGGGACACTGCAATGGTCGTAAACATGAGTCAGTTGCCAAGTGTCTGAATTTTGATCACGTGACCACGGGGATGCTGTTACAGTTGTAAGTGTGAAAGATATGAAAGAGGTATGAAAGAGGTGGATATTTCAGTGTCCCTAAATGATGGTTTTTGAAGTCCTTGTGAAGCTTCTCAACAATCTCAACAACACAATCTCAACAAGAATAAAATTTAACAGTACAAGCTGTACTGAATATCAGGTCCTTTCCATTACTAATTTTTCTTCTACGACGGGTAGCAAGCCAAAATATTTTGGATGTGGCCACGGTTCAACTAGGATAGAAGTTCAGGTCCAACCTGCCAAGACAGTGTGTTGTAGAGTTATGTCCAGAATATTAAAAAAAATCCCACAGCTTTCAGAGGGAAGCATTTTGTAGCAGGCCGGGGAGCAGGGAAAGGATTTAAAAAAAAAACCAAAACAGGAATCTTCACACCACAGAATGGGGAACACTTAGCTTCCTTCATAATGGATACATATAATGGAAACTATACAGTGTTTTAATCAAAATAAACCCTCTTGAGGCACCTTAAAAGACTAACAAATGTAACATTGTGTAAGCTTTCATAGATCTTGGTCAACAAAAACTGACACAATATACAACATTCGTTGTATATATGGCTACTTCTCTGAAATCTGCATTAACGAACCAGGGGGTGCCCAAGCTTGGCCCCTTTAAGGCTGGTGGACTACAATTCCCAGAATTCCCTAGCCAGCATCGGTTGGGGAATTCTGGGAGTGGTAGTCCACCAGTCTTAAAGGGGCCAAGCTTGGATACCCGACACCCGAGTTAGACTATATAGCCAGAGGATGAAAAATTTAATTTTAAAAATTTAATTGAAGCCTAAAGGGGGGAGATGGAAGGGGAGTGGGCTTCGTCCACAGATTTGGTAAATGTTGTCGTTCCTTAGGCCAGTGGCTCTCAACCTTTTCTTCCCCACAGGCCCCCTTTAAATACCTTTTGTGGACATGGACCAAGGCCACGGACCCCCAAGTCTTAGCTCAAGATTTAAATCAGGGGTAGTCAACCTTGGCTCTTTTATGACTCGTGGACTTCAGCTCCCAGAATTCCTGAGCCAGCACAGAGTTGAAGTCCACGAGTCATAAAAGAGCCAAGGTTGACTACCCCTGATTTAAATCATAACATTTTTTTAAGGTCTTCACAGACACCCCCTCCCCCATGACGACATCATGGACCCCCCAGGACTCCATGGACCACAGGTTGAGAACCACCGTCTTAAGACTAAAAAAACTCACTTTTAAAACAGAGAAAAGAAGAAAGGTAACTCTGAAGGATGCTGAGGCTTCCAATGGCATCTTCTATCATCCTTCCAAATGGTGCATTAGAATACGGGGTGCTTTTTCCCTCCCTCCCCCTTCCAAATCCTTCATCTGACTCTTGCTTACGAATCTGGAGATAAGAAATGCCAACGACAGCTTAAGGGGCAAGACCTACCCAGGGGGATTTGGGTCTTTTTCTTTTAGCACCCCAAAGCTTCCCTTCCTTTTTGCACCCCAAGTTGCTTTTATAAGTCCCTTCAATTTTAGAGGCAGTTTGCAAAGAGGGGTGCAGTCCAGTTCAGTCAACGTAGGAGAGACAGCTTGCAAAAACAAAACAAGACCAGAAAGCCAGAAGAGGGCTTCTTTCTGGGGATAGCCCAGATGTGTGCAACCTTCATGGAACTCCAGAAGTGGTGCCATTCTGGATCCTCACCTGAGCTTCTACCTGTGCATGAACGGGATCCTAGATGATAGACCCCTAGGGTTGGAAGGGACCTCGGAGGTCTTCTAGTCCAACCCCTGCTCAAAGTAGACCTTGTACCATCCCGGTCAAATGGTTTCTCCAGTCTGCTTTTGAAAGCTTCCAGCGATGGAGCACTCACAACTCATCCCACGGATTAAATGTCCTCAGTGTTAGAAAAGTTCTCCTTACTTCTAGCTTGAGTTGGGTCCCGATGGGAAGACCTCCCATCACTAAAATTCTCACTGCCTTCCTGAGAAAGCTGAATTACTGAGCTGAAGGGGGGGGGGAGAGAGAGAGAGAGAGACCGACAGGGCACAGTGAGAACGGAGCATCATTGTCTCCAGAGGGAGCACGAGAGAGAGATCCGTGCGCTGAGCCGGTGGCGTTACAGACTTGGCTGTCATTCCATTCAGAAAGCAGGAATCAGCCCAGCTGCTCAACCCTCCTTTTCCCACAGCTGGTGGATCGATCCCGTTCGAGCAGCCACCAGGTGGGGGTCATGCCGGCAGAGAAAGCCTCCATCCACCTGCTGCATCAGGATTTAGAAGGGGGGCCACCGGGACATGGAAGGATGGGTTTTTGAAAAGGCTGAAAAAGAACACCTGAGAAGGTCTTTCAAATGCGACGGAAACATGCTGGCGATCCAGAAGAGAAACTGGATGCACCAAGAAAGGTAGGACGATCTTATTGGACTTGCTAATTTTCAGGGATTTGATCGGCTTTCTTCCTATCTCATTTTCATCTCATTTTTTTTTTGCTCAGCGTATCTTAAAGTGAGGTTTACTTAGTTAGTAGAGTCGGTGTAATGGCATCTGGCTTTATCTTTCTATTTAAATAGGCATTCGGGGGGGAAAAAAGAAGGAAAAGTGAGAGGGGGGAAGGCAAACAATTCTTGAAATGAGCCTAAAAATCAGATAACTCGTTCAGCGGGTGAGAAGAAAAAAAAAAAAAAAAACTAGCTGGCAGAAACGGAGTTAAATTTCAACAGGATCTTTTTTTTTTTTAAGTTGGAGACAAAAGGCAGAAGCGAGAACATCTATAAAGTCTTTTTTTTTATTGGTAGGATTTAATGTCAGATATTAATCTGTTGCCATAAACTATTTTAGCACTCTGAAGCATTTTTTTTTTAAAAAAAACCATGTAATTCCATTTCTAGCTGACCCATACCTCTGCATACCCCGGTATCATCTGAATAACATTAATTTCAATTACTTGACTGTAGAGATGCTGCCCTTAAATATAAACCAGCCTACCGGTAGTTGGAAGGAACCCAGCACTGGATCAGCTAATATTTATGGATGTCCAGCTGTGTACAATAAAGGCAAAAATAAATGAACCTAAGGACAGCTGAAAGTAAAGAACACGACTGAAATATTGTAGTGTTTTTGCACATCTTGTGCATAAACGGATTGTCACCAAAGCAGCATTATTTCAAGTATTTTTTTCTAAAAAAAAAACCAGCATGCACTTTAGTCTACTTCGGGGTTGTTTATAAAAAAGGATTTATCGTACTCTTTCAGGAATAAAGCTTTTTTTAAAAAAAAGCAGGTTAAAATACAGATGTACTATGCTTCAACCCTTTGTCGGTAAATCAAACTTTTATAAGGTTTTCATACTTTTGAAAGAACGCCATATCAAAAAACTGGGTCTCTGACAGCTCCACAGTCATTCAGACATTACAGTATTTAGGTAAGGAAGTTATTTTTTGTTCTTGAAATTAAACAGAACAAAACCTCGTAAAGCTACTTTCTGCACGCCATTATATAGAAGAACTGACTTATAACTGACAAGCAAGACATCAGAACCGCAAACAATATCCTACCATCTATTAACTTTGGAGGAACACGGTTAGACAGTCCATCCACAAGTCCTAGTCGTATTTAATTAAACCAGGATATCGCCGTATCTCAGACGCATCTAGGACAAACAGAATCCACCACGTAAAACCATCTTCTCTTCCTTTGAAAATGCCGTTTTCGCTGACAAAAATATATATAAAAAGCAGAGCAGATTCACGGTGAAGGGGAAAAAAAGTAAAAAAAAACCAGGAAAATCCCTTTTTGTCCTCCCTCTGATCTGTAAAATTTTACCCCCTTTGCAGCCACAGCAAGGAGATAATAGGGGCTGTTAACAGTTAATTGTCTATAAGAAGAAAGAACTCAATTCAGCAGAAAGCCGATCTCTTGTTTCTCCTCAAATCTGCTTCATTTCTGATTTTTATCCTTTTCTCGAAAATGCAACCCCTAAGAGGCACTTTTCATCTCGGCACTAAATGGATCTCAGCTGTCAAAAGCTGCTTGTTTGTTTAACGCTCTCTGCACTCCCCGGCATGTGTGACTCCTCTAACTAAACCCCCCCAAAGACAATACCCTGAGTTTACAGGAGCAGACGCCAATGTCGCTCTCGTGTGGCTACATCGTTGGAGGCTTTCAATTCTGCAGAAAGGAGATTAATTTTCTTTTTCATTAATTGCAGGTCTAGCCTTCGCTGCGGGCTAAACAGGAGGAGACAGTCCTAGATGGGTCTGCATCTCTCAAACCATGAACAAGTCTTCCACGGAAGCAAAATGCACACACATCCCAAACCGCCTCTATGGCTATTAGAAAGCTCCTTTGTTACAGAAGATCAATTCGCAAGCACTCTTCCTACTGAGGACTAGCATCTTTCTAATGTTCTCCAAGAAGTTCTGAATATTCTAACTGATTCGGCCCTCGGAGGCTACAATCATGATCTCGGCCGGTCTCTTTGGAACCACGGCCCATCTGAACAGCCTGGCGCAGAAATCCAGGTTTATCTATTTCGCAGAGAATCACACCACGGAAATTTACACGGGATCCGCCTCTCCGGCGCTTTGTAACGGCACCTACTTTGAACTCAACGGATCCCGTTTTTGCAACGAGACTCGGGCTTTCTCCCTCGTGGACAAATCGGAGCAGCAGCAGTACGTGATAGGTCTTTTCCTCTCGTGCCTTTACACGGTATTCCTCTTTCCCATCGGCTTTGTGGGGAACATCCTGATCTTGGTGGTGAACATCAGTTTCCGCGAGAAGATGACCATCCCCGACCTCTACTTCATTAACCTGGCGGCGGCCGACCTCATCCTGGTGGTAGACTCCCTCATCGAAGTGTTTAACCTGGACGAGAAATACTACGACATTACCGTCCTCTGCACCTTCATGTCCTTGTTTCTGCAAATCAACATGTACAGCAGCATCTTCTTCCTCACCTGGATGAGCTTCGACAGGTACATCGCCCTGGCCAAAGTCATGAAGTCCAACATCTTCCGCACCATGGAGCACGCCAGGCTCAGTTGCGGCCTCATCTGGCTGGGCTCCATCTCGGCGGCCTTGGTGCCCTTCACGGCCGTCCACCTGCAACACTCGGGGGAGATACACTTCTGCTTCGCGGACGTGGCGGAAATCCAGTGGTTAGAAATCACGGTGGGCTTTATCATCCCGTTCGCCATCATCGGCCTCTGCTATTCGTTGATTGCCCGGGTGCTGATCAGCGCCCACAAACACCGAAGCTTGCGCCTTCGCCGTCAGAAAGCCCTGCGCATGATTTTCGTGGTGGTCCTGGTCTTCTTCATTTGCTGGCTGCCGGAAAACGTCTTTATTAGCGTGCAGCTTCTCCAGAAGACCGGAGAGTCTTCCTCCAAAGGCCGGTCTTTCAGACATAACTACCCCTTAACGGGGCATATAGTAAACCTTGCCGCCTTCTCCAACAGCTGTTTGAACCCGCTGATCTACAGTTTCCTAGGCGAGACTTTCAGGGACAAACTGAAGCTGTACATTGAGCAAAAGACCAAAGTCTCCATCTTGAACCGTCTTTGCCACGCGACCCTGAAATCGGTCATTTCTGACAGTACTGAACAATCGGAGGTTTAGGCTAGCCTGTAGCACGAACAGACTCTGCTCCTTCCTGCTTCTTACTAACAGAAAAAGTGCGCGTTTTGCCCTGTTCACCGTGTTTTTATAAGAACGTGTAAAACGTGATGTGGTACTTGGGACTGCTTTAATTACGGAGGAGAATAAAAGCCTCGCCCGAAGGTCAGTTGCATTTATATAGGCAAGGAGTCCGACAATTACTCGTGGAAAAATGTAACTATAATACAATTCTTGAATATTGTTACCTACCTGATCTATGTTAGATGCCCTAGAAAATATAATAAAACTGCAGCGACACTGGGAAAAATTCAATAGAAGGTATTGATAGAAGGATGCAAACAAGTCAGTGGTTTTCCATTCTTATACATCATCTTGCAAACTCAGTTAAGGAAACAGCTATCGTGTTCACCACATGATTCGATCTGAGACAGATGTATTCTGTGACATAAACTGAATTAAAGGGACCAGAAAAGCTTCCAGGTTTAGAGTAGAGTCCTCCCCTGCAGTTATTTTTAGAACGGGTTAGCCAATGTGTTTTGGATTTCAATGCTCCTTTCTGGATGTGAATCAGTTTGTAAACTAAGATAACTGTTTCTGACACGCATCAAGGCATCCATAGGTATCCCAATACACGTGACATTTCCTGGTTTAGTAGCTGTGTTGTAAGTAGAGGGGGGACAGATGGACCTGAAACACATTTTGGATCTACACATGGAGGTTTATAATTGACATTCCAGAGGGGATACACAGAACACAGAGTAATAGATTTGGATAGGACCCTGGAGGTCATCTAGTCCAACCCCCTGCTCAGGCGGGAAACTCTATACCATTTCAGACAAATGGTTGTCCAATCTCTTCTTAAAAGCCTCCAGTGATGGAGCACCCACAATTTCTGGAGGCAATGAGTTCCACTGGTTGATTGCCCTCACCCTGTGAACAAGCTCACAGACCAAAAGGCCAGTACCACATCCGGCTTCCTCTAAGATATTTTAAAGTATTCGTTACACAAGCATTAGGAATCCACCAGATTCTGATGTAGCAAATGCATATTTGAACTGCTTCCTTCTGGCTACTCTGTTGAAGAGCTGGAATTTAGGAGAAAAGGGAATCTTAGTGGATCCTTGTTTAAAACACTCAACTGGTTCCTTCAACATCCTCTTATTTGTCACTGAGGGACTGCAAGGATATAATTTGGATATCCGAACAAAGTATGATCATTTATTAAACAGCTGCTATTTCGTGCAAGGAAGACACTGAGATAAAGCTGGTCTGAAAATCTTAGGAAAAGGTTTACAAAAAAGAACTAAATATTTGGTGCAGAATTAGAGTCACTTGGGTTACATGTGTGTCAGCTGTTATGAACCACTCTTTCATAGGTGTTTTTTTTAATACTCAGCATTTACTCATAGACCTCACACACACTTTTAAATTCACAGCCTCTACTTTAGAATCAGCTCTGAGCTCGCATTGCCTCGAACGAAGAGATCATCAACCATCTAACCTCATCTTTAGATGAAAAGCGAAAAGTCAACGTCGGTGAGAGGCTACTGTTCCCCCCTCCCCCATTCTTTGAACTTCATCGGTCATATGGATAGCAATATAAGGAAATGTCAAAGATTTAAACACTCTAAAATGCTGCATTAAAGAATCTTTTTGTGTGTGTGGCTTCTGTTAGTGTTTTACGGCTGGATCCGGGTCAAATTAAACAGGCTCCCAATGAAATCAGATGGAACGTCAGCTATGATTTCAATCCTGTTGCCATTTCGATGGGATTTAAGTGCAACTCGAGTAACTTTGCCTGGATCAAGCATAAAGCAACCTCTTTCTTGTCTTTGGTGAGAAAGTTTTGGACAAAGAGGAACAGAGAGATGCCTTCAGTCAGCCTGGCCTGGCAGCTTTCCAGCGCTGCAATGAATAAAATGTTAAACCAACTGCATGCTCTCGTTTCTACTTGCAGTTATCTAACTGAGCAAATCTGTTGGTAGAGCTATGGGGAACAGTCAAGAGTCCAGTGTGTGTCGGCCACAGGGTGGGCTGATCACGAGAGAATAACAAAAATCCAACCATCTGACAAGGGACGCCGGATCCCCTTTTAGTCACCTTAAAAACTTCCCTCCGTGGGGATGTTAATATGAAAGACATAAAGTCGTTGCAGCATTGCGAAAAGGCAGTGAGCAGCACCCACATTCTGGAAAAATCACACAGCGAGGAAGTAACCCATGAGAAAAAAAATCTGTCCACGGAAGGAATTATGAGAAGTCTGGCATGTGGGATGTCATTCCAAATGACCAGGGAAGCAACTCGCTTCAAACATGCCTTCAATCAAGCAGAGTAGAGCTGGAAGGGACCTTGGAGGTCTTCTAGTCCAACCCCCTGCTCAAGCAGGAGACCCTATAACATTTCAGACAGGTGGCTGTCCAGTCTCTTCTTGAAAACCTCCAGTGATGGAGCACCCACAACTTCTGAAGGCAAGCTGTTCCACTGATTAATTGTTCTCACTGTCAGGAAAGATACTGGCCTATTAATTAATTGCCTTTTTAATATTCCAAGGCCACTGACCAGCAGGACCACTAGTTACTGTCTGAGGAGCTGGAGTTAACAACTCAACATAAGCTCCTTGTGCACAGCGATGCCCTGTCACGGAGAGCTGAGCTACCTCCAGTCCCCAAGTCTCCCTAAGCACCCTCCCTTAACTGGCAGATTCAAATTTGATGACAATACAAGCTTTTATTTTACACTTCATTTCTCTCCCTTTTCCTCACTCAGGGATATGGCAATACCAAAGGCTAAGAATAAACATGGGTTTGCTGATTGAAGCGCTCCTGGTTGCCAGCTCTGTTTTGTTCTCAGGCAACACAGGTTATCGCCTTTATCTCATGGTGGCTGCTGTGATCTTCGTTAACAAAGTGTTATTGCAAAGCTTGTAGAAATATTACAGGGTGATAAAATGAAGCAGCCCATGCCCAAGCTCCACAGAGCTGTGGAGTTTTGAAAATGGAATTAGTGTAACTGCACTTTGAACCATGCCATGGCTAATTCAGAAACACATCCCAGTTCTTTAACACAACCAAGAATTGTGAGCTTAGAGATGCTTGCATTAGTAGCAAAGAGCAGAGAAATTATTGACATTTATTTGTGCTGCTTAACAAAAAGGAAAAGGATCTGGGCTAAAAGCAATTAAGATAAAGATATGACCAGTGATCGTATTTCATTACAGTAGATCACTAGAATATCCCTTGGCATTCCTGATTTATTAGCATGGGAAGCCGGATTCTTTGGAAATCTTAGGGAATATTTTCTTTTGTGGGTCACAAATCACAGAGTTGAAAAGAGTGGCTTGAAAATCACACACAGGGCCGTTGCAGCATCCCTGTGGTCACGTGATCAAAATGCGGATGCTTGGCAACTGAATTGTACTTATGACGGTGGCAGTGTGCCGGGATCAGGTGATTGATCCCCTTTTGTAACCTTCTGAGAAACAAAGTCAATGAGGAAGCCAGATTCTCTTAACACTAACTTAGCAACTGCAGGGATTCACTTAACAAGACAGGTCACAAAATGGGGCACGACTCGCTTAGTGGCCTCACTCAGAAACAGACACTTTGGGCTCAGCGGTGGGCATAAGCCGAGGACTACCTAAACATGCGAAATGGAAACCAATATTCCTTTTTACCAATCCACATTTTGAACCGTCTGATTTAAGCAATGGCAACCCAACCCAGCGTCTACTGCATCCAGGACGTGGTGGTGGGATCTGCTGGTGAAGCCTAAATTCCTAACCTTTTGAGACTCTGCCAAATAGGACGCAAAATATTGTGTTTATATCAGGAACAGTAGGAGATGTAAGCCTTTCGCCTGGGAAAACCATTTTCAAAGTAGGAACTTGTTTTCCCAGCTGTGAATATGCCTTCCTGGGAAATTTGCTCAGTCCATTACAAAAATATTCAAAGGAATGCAAGATTATTCGGCCTTATCTCTGCATATAAAATATTTCAAACAAAACTTTCCGTGTTTTCCATACTTCGTGGTCACCGCGCAAGAGTGAATTAAGCTAGAAGCAGGGCAGCGAAAGTAAACCGGTAGTCCCTGCACGTAGCAAATAAATTCTACTCTGTTACAGTTAAGTTAGGCATAAAAAGAAAGGGTCCTCGCCTCTCTAATATTTTCAAGATATTGTTTTGTTTTCCAGAAACAAACAAGCTTTGCTTGTTTTAAAGCACCCATTTATGCTGCGGGAAGGTTGGTAAGTTACCCGAGATAAACCAGGTTGTGACATATGAAGATATGAATCTATTCTGGTTTCCTAGCTTGTCCTGATCATCTGAGCATTACAGAACACCAGACAGCCCAAATTCTGACTAGGCAAGGCCTCTGGTTTGAAACTGGTCAGCAAATCCCAGCTCATTAGATTAACATTACACACCTAGTCAACGTCAGGAACGACAAAATCCTCAGCTGAAGAGAAAAAAAATGAGAAACTTAAAACCGTAAACTTTATGCTGACAGGCAGTAGAGTCAACATAATCCCGAGTTCCATTTCTTACAAAACACTTCAATCTCACTCTGATGCAGCTTTGCACCAAATCAAGTTCAAAGTTTGCACTTTAACAGAAGTTCTCAGGCAGACCCAGTTGTGCACCTTTCAGCGAAACACAGCAACAAATCGGAGAAATCCTTCCCCACATTAACAAGTACATTATACCGTTATACCTAGCTTTAAAATCAAACTAGAAGGCTGTGAGGTATTTTGGCCATCAAGCAAGAACAGAGAAACCAAAGGAGGACATTTTTTTCCCCATAAAGAGACAGGTCCTGTCACAAATCCATCTTTTAATTGATAACATACTTCAGTTGCTACAAACTGGAAGTTTTCAATGCTCTGTGCTACCAACTCTGTACCATGTGAACTTGGAAGGAACAGCATGCCAAAAGTTCACACAAACTCTTCTTTCTTTTTACTCACAGCCTGGTCCCTTTGGGGCTAGCATGGAGAAGGGACATGAGGGATTTCCTCTTGTCTCAGCAGGTCAGGTCAAAAGTAGTCAGTCGGCTCCTGCTAACAAAAGCCAGATTGTGCGGCTAAGCACAATATCTGATGGCTGGCGTATATGCTGTATGGTTAATATACAGAGAGGAGGAAAAAAATGTTCTCAAAACTGTACGAAGCTTATACTGCCTTGGGAGAACACGAAGCAAATTCACTGCAAATGTGCAGAAAATGAAATGGCCCCTTAAATGCAAATATCCCTTTTTTTTCTGCAAGCGGTCCAATGGCTAAATTAAAAGGGCTTTGATCTCAGGTATAACTGTTAGTAACACGAATATTAAATAAAGGAGCACATTTACAATAAGCAACACAGCCAAGTAAATCTACATTTGTTTGTAAGGATGCACACAGAAAAGACACACAGAAATGGCCAAATATTGTTTTGCACATGGATACCTTTAACCAATGATGGGCAAACTTGTATCCCAAACACACCTACATCTATTTCTTCTGTATGTTGGTAAATGAAGGCTAGATAAAGTATCTCTAGGCACAGGAGAAATTAGATACTATAAGAGATAACAATAATAATATGCTTAAGATGTCTGGTCTGCTCTACTTTCATCTAGCTACAAAACACTACATGCATATGTTTTATAAATGAATATGAAAGATATCAAGAACACGGGTCCTGTTTAAAAGTCTAAGACTAATAAATAGGTTTTCTTAGCATCCCAGCACTCCCCACGTTAAATTTCAGATTCTCTTCACTCAGATTAGAAAACAGAAAAATATAGACCACGTGGCAATAATCTCAACAAATTTTAAAAATTATAACATATTGTCTTGCCTATATTTTTGAACAAGTAAGACTTCACAGCTGAAAATGTGAACAAAAACACCTCTAGGATCAAAGGACTGATTCTTATTTACTCACATTTAGTTTATGTTTTTTCAGTACAGGTTCATCCTCCTCTGGTGCCGTTTGTGGCTTCGGATGCTTCGTGGATTTCTTCTTCTGTTTCATCTTCCTTTTTTCTGGTAGAAGATGCTCTTTCTTTTCTGCCTTCATCAGTCTTTCTGAGACTTACAACTCTAGAACAAATAAAAAGAAATCGTACCTGTTAAAGAGGTTTTTATCAGAACAAATCAAATCTCCCCCCCCCCGAAAATTTAACAACTTTGTACAATTATGTTATCAATGTTCTTTTCTTAACCTTTTTTTAAAAAAAATGTCTGTCTTTGAATAAAGAAAGTTTTAACTGTCTACGTGTGATGGTGGAATTGCAGATGGGCAGCCTGGAATATGTTTTCAGTTTAACCTGAGTTATATATAAGATTGTGGATAAAAAAATAAACATTCTTTTTGATAAAAAAATAAGATTCTTGATAAAAACATGACCAAAAGCGTCCACGAAAGAGACCTAAAACAAGATGGAGTGATGATATCAGCCAGTATTGAGGGCCCAACTGGCAAAAGAAAGCTGTAGATGTATTTTTTTACATTGTTTATAAATGGGCATTTAAAAATAAATATAGGGAATCTGCTTAAATACAGAGTTGCCAAATGAGACCCGAGTTTGCTTTTGGAAGCAACATTTAAATGTTGCCTTTACTTCTCAAAAGTCTCCAACTAGAATAAAACATTCCGGTGCTTGAAAGGTTGTTAAACCCTCTTTAGCCTGGGGTCTCCAGGGTCAGCCAATTTCTGCTTTTGCTTTTTTTTCTTTTAACGTAGCAAATCTTTCATTTTTGACTACAGGTAGTCCTCGGCTTACGACCACAACGGAGCCCAACATTTCTGTTGCTAAGCGAGACAGTCGCTAAGTGAGTTTTGCCCCCTTTCATGACCTTTCTCACCACCGTTTGTTAAGGGGATCACAGTGGTCGTTCAGTTACTAATACGGTCGCTAAGCGAACCCGGCTTTCCCCCCAGTGACTTTGCTTGTCAGAAGATCGCAAAAGTGGATCACGTGACCCCGGGAGACTGCGACTGTTGTAAATGTGAGTCACTTGCCAAGTGGCTGGATTTGGATCACGTGACCACGGGGACGCTGCAAATGGTCGTTAAGCGTGAAAAACAGTCCCAAATTGCTTTTTCCACCGTCGAACCGTCACTAAACGAACTTTTATAAGCCCAGGACTAATTATTCCCCCATCTGCTTGGAGAGCTCGCCCAGAGTCACCTTGTTGGAGCTGGTTGGGGCTAATGGGTGTTGTAGTTTGGGGCTTATGGGTGCTGCAGTTGGTTGAGGCTTGTGGGCATTGTCGTAGAGGATCACTGTGTGAGTTCTCCCCCTCCTCTTATACACACACACACACACACACACACACACACAAGGCGGGCCGGCCTCTAGTTTGGGCAGGGAGAAAATGGGGACTGGCCGACCCTGCGGGGTTGTTGTGAAGGGTAAGGCGAGAAACGAGGCGAAAACGGTCCGAAAGGTCAAAGTTGCCCCGCCCACCACTCGCCCTCGGAGCACGGGCGCCCACAGTCACGGCCGCCGCTACCCACCCCGGGCTCACCCCAGGCGGCCTTCCCGGCTTCGTCAGCGGCCGCTCTTCCGCCTTTTCCCGCCAGCTTCCTTCTGGCCGCCGCCGTCCCTCCCTCCTCGAGCCCCGATTGGCTGCTCGGGCGTCCCCGCGCTCTGACTGGCCGCGCCGCCCGTCCGTCTTCTCGCGACAATTCCTACGATTGGCCGCGGCCCCTTGTTAAGGCCCGCCCCCCTCCTCGACTCTTCCGGATACGCGCTCTCTCCGCACGCGGCGGAGGCGGGGCCAAGGGAATGGCCCGCGATGAACACCGATGCGGCTGCGTGAGGTGCGGCCGCGGGGGCGGAAAGCGCATGCGCAGTCCCTCTTTACTGATTGGACGAGATGCGCCGGGCTCTCCTGCCCATTCTACGCAAATCAGCCTCTGTTTAAACGAAGCATTTAAAAATGATAAGTTAAAACCATTTAAGAAGAGAAGAAGCACGAGAACCGTCATAAAAAAAAATAAAACTCATATTTTGGTGCAAAAGCAGCAACTTTTCCCTAGTTTGCTTGGTGTTAAAGGGATATTTCTCATCTTTAAAGCTGTGTGGGCTTCAATTTGCAGAATTCCCCGGCCTGCAGAGCTGCAATAAAACGTAATAAAAGTTTGCAACTTGCACTGACGTTACCTAGTTGGGTAATGCAACATTTGCAAGCGAACCTGCTCGGAGAACACCAAGGACCCCGCAATTCAACCCTGAAGTACAGAGTCTCTTCTAAATTGGGTTATATTAAATATATCTTGAGATTTTAACCGTGTGAAAAAAATACACATTTTTGATCTTAGTGTCAAAATCTCCACTATTTTATAAGTACTAAAAAAACAAAGGGAAAACCCCGCTAATCCACTATACGTATTTTTCTTCAAATGGTGTAGCTCTTTTCTCTTTGACCCCCCCCCTCCTTTCTGACTTGGGGGGGGAACCAAGTTTAAAAGAAGTTCAGCACTCCCTACATTACATCATCTTTGAGAAGACTCAGCAGCTTAAAATGGGCTGGTTTTGTTGGTGGCGACACCCTGTGGGTTATTCAAATATTGCAAATAAAACCAAGGTGGGGGGGGAGAGATTTCACTCAGCAGGGGTCTCTCATACCTGAAAAATCACTCCGTAGAGGCCGGAATAAATCCAGCAAAACAAAAGAGAGATTCCCTACTCCCATCCATGAAAACCTTGCGCTGTTTGAGCTGTTTTCAATATTCCAGTTAGTTGGAGAATTTGAGCGACTAGAAGGCTAGGTCCCGTTGCTCAAACTTGGCAATTTGGAGAATCTGCTTCGGCCATTATCCTAGGCAAGACAAGGTTCATCTAATTCATTTTCAGCAGTTCTGTGACTTAAATTCAAGCCAACTATCACAACGTAAGGAGTCCATTTAATCAGAAAATGTGCAAAAGGGTACAATAGATTTTTAAAAGCTAAAGAGGGACAGCAATATGACAGGCTTCCGTAGGTTTAGTTCCCAGCTGTAGACATCAACCTTTTGCTTTGCATCTGAAAACAAAACAACACAATTAGCTAACCAGAAGCTACAAAATAGTATTTCTTACATAGTNCACAACGTAAGGAGTCCATTTAATCAGAAAATGTGCAAAAGGGTACAATAGATTTTTAAAAGCTAAAGAGGGACAGCAATATGACAGGCTTCCGTAGGTTTAGTTCCCAGCTGTAGACATCAACCTTTTGCTTTGCATCTGAAAACAAAACAACACAATTAGCTAACCAGAAGCTACAAAATAGTATTTCTTACATAGTTCACAACAGCTATTCTCACTTATTTTCTCATTGTTTCTCATTTATTATTATTTATATAGAAGTGCTAGGATATCCGTTCAACATAAAGGATTAATTTAACTAGTTTCTCTTATGCTAAAACCTGGTCACTCAACTCCTTTGCTGTTTAGTAATCAGAGTGTATAAAAACAACCTAAGTCTAAGTAACCAGACTGAGTGAAATCTTCTGTGCCATATTACCAATATCTGACTTATTTTGAAAGATCATAAAATGTCCAGCTTAATTTCTTTTGAAATAGCTGTCACCAAGAGCCACAGAGACTTGATGGCACATAATCAAACAGACTGACCAGTTAACTTAAGCACATTCAGAAATCAATAAATGTTTTGCATTAAAGTTTCAACCTGGCACACAGGAAGCATAGGATTACTTATTAAACAGAAAAGATCAAACCTTACCCATTTTGTAGAAAAGGACAGTTGGGAGAATTATTCCTGGATTGCAGGGATCTCATTATAGCTGCACACCTGTGAGGAAGTTAATACGCGTTTAAGTGAAGGATTTTTGATGAATAGGAAAGTTTCATTATTAACTATCTGGTGTGTTTATTACTTTTATGCATTTTTTTTCATTATTCATAAACCACCTGGGACCTGTTTTTGAGGCTTCAGCAATCTATAAATAAATGTTAACTAATATTAACTAAGCTCTGCCCCTTGTTGTAATTTTCACTTCCTCATTGAAAGATATCCCGTAGCCATCCTGATAACAGATTCCTTCAATTCATCAATCAGCTGGAACGAACAAATTCCTAAAGTCTTCTCCCAGGAACCAACCATCTTTGAAAACCACCTAGATCCAATTCGGGAGATGCCCTAAAAAGATCTGTCATGTTGACTTCCCAACCCAGGAGCCTTACCCAGCTTTGGAGACAGGTGAAATCCGTCCCGGGCAGTTGTGATCTGAAGGATGCCGATGACGAAGACAAAAGTTCTGGTGACACTGGTCACAAACCAGCCTCATCATCTCTTTCTTTCTGCAGCCTCCTTTGAAGCATTCGTTGGTGAAGATCTAAACGCCAAGGAGATCCCATCAAAATCACACCAAATTGGGCTAACACACTGATATTTAGTACCCCTTGTGAGTAGTTGGCCTGCTTGGTAAATTGGAACTGCTAGTAAAGTGCAGGGCTGGATTCCACAGTTCAGAGCCAACTCCAAGTTGGCTTCCCCATAAACTGGTGTTTCTCAACCTTAACAAGTTTAAGACGCATGGACTTCAATTCCCAGAATTCCCCAGCCCGCCATGCTCTTTTGAGCCTTTTCCCATTTTTCTTTTAAGGGAATGTGGTCCTTAGCTCAAATTAGTCCTTAAGCAAAATAAGGTCACTTTCTAAAGTTAGAGAAAGCTCCATGGAGGCAGGAGGAAGACAGAACCAAGAATGAGAAGAGGCCCACACCTCTTAAGAAGGTCCTTACTTTCTGCTTCTGCTGGGCTGAATCCTGTTGACAGTCCCGATCCATATGGGCCCCCATAGCTACGTCGGGCATCTCTCCCTTTCTGACAGGGACCGGGGTGTTGCAAAGAGGGCAGACTGGAACCTGTACATCCTAAAACAAAAGATTATCAGGTTGAAGTCAACAAAGACAAGACAGAGTAAGTTGTTGAATGGCTAACATCGCCTCCTCACTGGGCACTTTTAAGCAATTCTGTACTCTGTACCTTAAAGTTCTAGCTAATTACTAAGGTTTGCATGAGACAGTTGGTCCTAAAGCAAGCAAGCTGAAGGATAGCCAGCCCCTTTTCCACATAAATCCTTCACTTTTTATTATTTTGCTTCTTTGTCAGCTCTTAGGTCTCACCGTATGTCATGATTTTAGACAGTAGACTAGGAGTTATACTTTTCCAGCTTGAAATAGGGCCAGTGCTAGAGGCCACCAGCACAAGGACGAGGAACAGTTAAAAAACTCGCTCAACACCAGCATTTTTGCCTAGCTAGTTATGCATTGGCACACACCATCCCCATTTCACAAAGTTCACAATGCCATAAATACGGATCACCTTCTTATACGCTGAAGAACACTTGTGTCGCCTGTAGACAATGTGGTCTTTGCAGAAAAGCTCCTTGCAGGCGTCACATTTCAGAGGAAGAAAATCTTCAGAGGGAAAAAAAAAACAGCAAACACGGTAAGTTGGATTTATTCTAACACAAGAGATCTGGTGGTCTTCCCAAATCACAAGGGTTGTTGTTATCCCTTAAAGGAGGGACACCCCAAGCACACACACACACACCCTTCCTGTGATCCGTACCCAGCCGTCTGCAGGTCTTCTCGCAGCAGTGTTGTCCCAGGTCTGGGAATTCCATTTCTTCAGAAGCCCACAACTTCCCAGAATTATGGTTATCTAGAAGAGGAGGTTGTGTAAGTTTGCTTTTCTGACAGGACACACAGCAGCCAGATTCACACCCAGAGATGACACGTGTGACTTCTGTCATCAGTGTTGTTGAGTAAGTCATATTAGCCTATGTCAAATACCCCATTTTGCTTTACATAAAAAAAACCCCACACCAATCATTTACACCGGGGTATCCAACCTTAGCAACTTTAAGACCTGTGGACTTGACTGGCTGGGGAATTCTGGGAGTTCCTCCACAGATCTTAAAGTTTCCAAGGTTGGACACCCCTGATTTACACAATAGCAAAGGCTCAAGGCAAAGAAACTCCTTTAGGACTCTGGTGTAAACTGGGTGTAAGCACAACCCAGTTTGATCAAAGCCATTCTTCTGCCAAAAAAACAGACTTACCAATGTCCAGGCTGAACTTTGCTACTAAGAACCACAAACAGACCCCCAAATTCTAAGTCGTAGAGATTCCCCATTGCCCACCTTCGGAAAGCCCCATATGCTTAATAAATAAGCCAGGATTTGAATACAGGCTTCAACAAACCACTCAACAGCACCCGGGATTACATTCCTATAACTACTTTAAGCGCCTTTCACTAAGTGACCCAAAAGGGAAAGAATTAACCCAACACACACCAAGAGGAACAGAATCACACAACATACTTAGCCACACACTCGCACTGGGTTTAGCAAGCTGTGGGAACGCACTCCCGTGTCGGTTCTCTCCAACGTGGCGGGCAGGGTAGGGACCTCGCAGGATCTGCGATAAAAACACAAAGGCCTGTGTAGACTAACACAAAAACACACAACCCGCCAAGCGCTCCGGCGCTTTATGTAGCTCAGCGCAATTTCGCTGATTCATATTTTACTTCCGCCTCCCGATTACCCAATCAGAACAGACTTTGTCAACGTCACCAGCGCCCCGACCAATCACGGGAAGCCCGGCTTTGGGTTTTTCGCTGAATCAGGGCGCCCCGCCTCCTGGCTGTCTCAGCGTGAGTCAGCGTTTCTTCTGGCCGGGGCTGACCCGCTTTTTGCGGAGATTTGAACTCGAGCCCTTGCACACGACCCGCGGGGAAAACACGTGTTTGGCTATCGCCTGGATCAAGGGCCGTGAAAAAAGCAGCCCTTGCTTGCTTTTTCTCACCCATAATGATGATAATAATAAATCAACATGTAGCCACTCTAGGTGGCTGGGGAAAAAATAAATTCAAATTATATTTCTGCCCATCTCACATACATCATTTTAGGTGGCCAGCAATAAGAATAGATAAAACACAAACAATGTAGAAATAACCTCAGAGTTCTTCTTTTTAGCTTTGTTATTAATAGTAACTATTCTTGCTCTCCAGAGTTATTTGTTTTGAAATATTTGATTTTATTTTTTTGGGGTGATGACTTTGATTCTTGTCGGCTGACCAGAGTAATTTAGAGTTAGGTAGCATACAAGTTTAATAGATTGTTGTTGTTGATGATGGTGGTGGTGTTATCCCCAAATTTGTGGCCTAATTCTGTGGCATGTCTTAAGTTCAACATAACATCTCCTGCTTGAGCAGAGAGTTGGACTAGATGCCCTCCAAAGTCCCTTCCAACTCTGTTATTCTGGAAAGTGCCAGAAAACACGAGAATAAAGTCAGGATATGGGACCTTGTGGGTGACTAAGCAGTTCCTGTTTCTGCCTCACACCCAGCTCTGACTCATGGTGTTGTATCAGATAAACAAAAGGTGCACAAAGTTTCCAGTTTCTTCCAACTTGTTTGTATTGTCCAACATACGTCAAAAGGGCCAGATTGAAAGGCTGGAATAAAGTTACTTTTAACACTCCAGAGTGCTGTGGATTGACCAAAGAGGAAGAGAAGGAGGGATGGAGAAGGAAAAAGAGTAAGTGGAGAAGGAGAAGGAAAAAGAGAAGGGAGGAGAAGGAGAAAGAAAAGGAGGAATGAAGGAGAAGGAGAAAAAGAAACAACAGGTCTGACCAACAGGAACCTCAGCCTGATCCAGTTTTAGGACTCACAGAACTGGAGGAAAAACTGGTGCTGTGCTCCCCATTAAAATCTGATTTTCTAAAAACTGTGCACAGTGGGACCCCCAAGACCCCAGATGAAGACCCAACCTTACTTGTTTACCTGCAATTTCCCACCCCCTTTATCCGCTCCTCTTGCGGTGGAGGTATCTCCCTGCCTTCACACATCATGCCAACACCGTTGGTCAAACTGCAACCTAATTGAACAAACCACAATACTCGGGTTTCCGAACCCTGCTAAACCCAAACGAAGCATCGGGGCTCAGAGGTTGGGTCAACCCAGCCATTGGGGGCTAATAGGAAGCCAGCTCACTCATCTTCTAGCCCAGGGGTCTTCAAACTTGGCCCTTTTATGACTTGTGGACTTCAACTTCCAGAATTTCTCAGCCAGGCGTGCCTGGCTGAGGAATTCTGGGAGTTGAAGTCCACAAGTCATAAAAGGGCCAAGTTTGAAGACCCCTGGTCTAACCCAAGACCTCCTAGCTCTCTGGTTCCTGCCTGGGAGAAGACACAAGGAAACAAATTCGACACCACCAATCAGGACCACTAGAGAAGATGGAGAGCCATCGGAGGTCAACCTTCTGCCCAGCTCCTGGCCTTCTGGAACTCTGGCCCTTGGGCTGGACAGCTCTCCCTGCCCCTGGCCATCAAGTTGCCTCACTGGCTAGCCTCCTGCTCAGATGAGGAGCCCACCCACCTTGCTTGTGGTGGTGGGACACGGAACTCCTCCTGGCTCTCTGACAGCAGAGGAGGCCAGTGGCCCCAGCTGAGCAAAGGGCTCAGCCTAAATTGCTCTCCAAACCGAAATGTCACTCTTTCCGAAGAGGAGCCGGCGAAGAATGGAAACCCCGCGCTGCGACAGCGTTCTCGGGCTTATGTTCTTAGCCAGGCTGAGACCAGGATCATGGGCTGTGCCGTTTGATAGAGGAGGTGCCCACAGGAAGATAACAAAGCCGGCGTTTTGTGCAGCGGATTTGAAGTTCTTAAGGAAGTCTGAAAATCCAAACAGAGACGGGGGCCCAGCTGGCCCAGGCAGAGAGAGGCATCTTAAAAAGAGGACAAGGATTAGAAATTAGCTAAGGTCTTAAGAGGTCTATTTTTAGACGTTCTCCCCTTCTTCTGACACATTTTGGGCTCCTGAGATCTGGGAAGCCAAAGCGCCAGCCCTGGCTTTGCTGGCGCACGCAGGAAAGATCACACGACGAGAGGAGAGATTACAGCGGCTGGCTTAGCGGCCTGGGAGTGGGAAGAGTTGGAGATGATTTGCGGGGATTTGGCAAATGGGAAAGTGCTCGGAAAGCAGAATTTAATTAGCAAGAGCCAACATGAATCGGAAGGGGGGAGGTTGCATGTCCTAGCAGCCCAGGATTAAGGGGAAGGGGGGAGAGGAAAGCAGGCCTCCAGCCAGAGAGATTGAAAGGGGGCAAAATTAAAATCAGGTCTTCCTTCCTTCCTTCCTTCCTTCCTTCCTTCCTTCCTTCCTTCCTTCCTTCCTTCCTTCCTTCTATTCTATTCTATTCTATTCTATTCTATTCTATTCTATTCTATTCTATTCCATTCCATTCCATTCCATTCCATTCTCTCCAGCATTTGGGTAAGCAAGGGGACTCAGCTTCACCCCCGACAAGAGGAGGGGAAATCCTCCCACAGTATTTTCATTTTTGCACATTTTCTTTGCCATAATTTAATATACCACACAAACTAATAAAATTAAGAGCAGTATATAACTCCAGAAGCACCATTAGAAGAATCCTAACCTGCAAGATTAATATATAACGCTTTAGCCCAGGGGAGATTGCAAATAAAAGTGAAATATGACAACAGCAATTCTGGGTTAATAAATAACTTTAAAGAGAAATAATGAAGAGGCGGTCTACAACTTTAATGGCCTTCTTAAGATTCATTATTTCAAAAATAGCTGCTGGTCCCTCTCCTTGTCTCTCCTGGCGGATGCACACAAATTTACCGGCCGAGTCTTTTGAATGCCTTTTGGACAAGGAGATGGCATTTGTCTCAGGAGTGTGACAATGGGCAGACTGTTAGGAAAATGGAAGAAAACTCCATGTTCCTCCCCCTTCCAGTGTTCTTGGACTCCAGATCTCATCACCCCCAGCCAACATGGCTAACGGTCTGTGAGCCCTGCAACATTTAGGCTGCCCCAAATCTAAGTGGCGATTCAGAAGTTCTGTGTTGTCTCTTCCTTAGATCGAATTTTCCATTTCCCCTCGGACTTCTGCAGTTTATTAGATATTAAACTATGAAACCCTTTGAAAGTCATTTCTGGGCATATGAGAAGAGCTTGGTTGGACGAGACATGCCAGCGAAGCCTTCGCTACAAGGAGCTTGTTTTAATCTATGGAACTCCCTGCCACAGGAGCTGGTGAGGAACAGCGGCTTTGACAGGGGAGGAGAAAACTGTAAGATTAAAACGTCTGCATGGGAGGGAAGTTAAAGCCAAGCAACTGGGACTTCAGGAGGTTGAATTAAATGGAATTGGTGCCCAATTCAGCAAGTTTCTTGTAATGTTTCATGCTTGGGATCAGCCCCTGAGCTCCCAATACAGGTCGTCCTCGGCATAATCTTGAGCCTGGGATCAAAGGAAGACCTCCTTCCAGGAATTGTCAGCTCTGAGCTGCATTTGGAACTATCTGCCACTAGATGGCAAACAGCTCCTTGCTGGGTTTGGGGCCGTTCAAGAAAGATTCGATTAAGGGTGTTAGAATCAGGAGAGAAAAAAGTTGCTGGTCCTCTTTGTAACTTGGTTATTATTATTATTATAATGTACAGGTAAGTCTCGACTTACAGCCATTTGTATGATGACTATTCAAAGTTACAACGGCAGTGAAAAAACTGACTTAGGACCGTTTTTTTTCACCCTTATGACCGCTGCAGCGTCCCCGTGGTTACGGGATCAAATTCAGATGCTTGGCAACTGACTCGTGTTTATTATGACCGTTGCAGCATCCCAGGGGTCACAGGATCCCCTTTTGCGACATTCATGAGAAAGCCAGATGCATTTAAGAACGGTGTTACTCATTTAGCCACTGCAGCGATTCATTTGACGGGGCAAAATCCTACCAGCAGAGAGCAGCAATGCCTCCCTAACCCTCAAGTCCACATTCTCCTGCCTATTAACTAACATCTCCCTGTAATCATAAAATGTAACTTTGCAATTACGGTGTCGGATTGGAAGTCTCGCGCCAAATTGATATTTTAGCCACAACAGTAAACTTTTGCTGATGGCCGATAATTTGAAGAGCGGGGGCCAGATAAAAAATTCATAATGGCAGAGGCAGCCTGGAGTACGGACAAATTATATTTAATGCTCAGAATTGTCAAGCAATTTGCTGCAGGCCCTGGATGTAATAAATAGAGGACGTGACAAAATGGAATCACAGGAACCAGGCGTCCTTGGGATGCAGAGAAGCCTAGATGGACACGCACAGTGTTTTAAGAGATAACTGGTTAGGAGTTTCCAACTTGGACATCATGTTTACAGAACCCAAATGCTGAGGAACAACACTTGAGTGTGCGTAGGTGTATGTGACCTTACACAATGAGATTTGCTCCCAGTTTATATATAATTTAGCTTGTCCTGCTGGTGTGGGTGAGACTTATGGTTTTCTCCTTGGTAGTTCCTTGATTAGGGCATTGCTTTCTGCTTGATTGTTTGTCTGGGTTTAATCCCTGCTTATCTGGTTGTTGGTTGCTGGAGATAATGTGTTTTGTCTTTTCCTTCCTTCCTTCCTTCCTTCCTTCCTTCCTTCCTTCCTTCCTTCCTTCCTTCCTTCCTTCCTTCCTTCCT